TCCCCAGGTCTCCCAGCTGTGTGCGTCACTCTTTAGTGTCCCCAGGTCTCCCAGCTGTGTGCGTCACTCTTTAGTGTCCCCTGGTCTCCCAGCTGTGTGCGTCTCTCTTTAGTGTCCCCTGGTCTCCCAGCTGTGTGCGTCTCTCTTTAGTGTCCCCTGGTCTCCCAGCTGTGTGCGTCACTCTTTAGTGTCCCCTGGTCTCTCAGCTGTGTGCGTCACTCTTTAGTGTCCCCTGGTCTCTCAGCTGTGTGCGTCACTCTTTAGTGTCCCCTGGTCTCTCAGCTGTGTGCGTCACTCTTTAGTGTCCCCTGGTCTCCGTTGGGTTTTTCTTTACTTGCAGCGTTTCTTTTAATGGAAGTGTTTTAAGGCGTGGTCGCCCTCTGTACAAATGCATATTCAAAAGATGTTTATTAACTGATTCTATGTTAGATTTTTAATATATTCTGCTTTGTGTATTGCATTCGATTATCAAAAAGCACTTTGGTCTTCCATCGTCTGTTTTCTCTCATTTTGCACAAAGCATCTTCATCATCATATTCCTTGTTAATTAATATGTGTATTAATATTTGTTTCGTGTTGCTACTCTCATATCACACACTCTGTTGGAATCAGCTGATTTAGTGCAGACATGCTTACAAACCCCTGCAGCAAAATTAGATTTAAAAAATGTTTTATTGGCAGCATTGATTTTTGTATTAATCCGTTCTAATGCAATGTGTGACTGAGAAACAGATTGGGCCGTTTTTACAAATATTAGCCATTTATTTGTGCTTGTTTTTGGTTGGAAATGAATCACTTTGCTCAACTTCCAATAACTTCTGACCCTGTGTGGTAATTAAAAATGTCATGTTTTAATATAGCACTTTTTAAAATGTTTATTAAATCATTATTTTATAAAACTGTGCAGTTGTTTGACACCTAAAAACAGAAACATGTATGTGTATGTAAAACTCAATAAAGTATGGAAGCCCATAGGGGGCGAAAACTCACTCGTAACTCCACATCAACATTAGGGTTTAGTGTTTTTGAAGTCACATTATGATGCAATAATCCAAATGGAAATTGAAGAACATGTCAAATTCAGTTTATCTTTTTTATTTGTGAGACGTAAACATTGCCTGCATTAATGGAACATTACGTTTATTGCATTACATTTTTAAATATATTTGAATTAATATTTTTTGAATACTGTCAAATGTGTAGCATGTACAACTTTGAACATTAAATGTCAAACCGTGTTTCCGTTTTAATTTTCAATTTGATTGAGTTTTAACATTTTCATTCTGAAGTTTACATTGTTGTTAAGTCCTTTATTAGTTTCCATAATAATGCTTAAGTACTTTCACTATAGTTAGATGAGAATACTTTTCTACTTTTACTTGAGGAACATTTTGAATGCAGGACTTTTACTGTAACAGAGTATTCCTACACTCTGGTACTTCTACTTTTACTCAAGAACAAGACCTGAGTAATTCTACTTTTACTAAAGTACAAGATCTGAGTACTTCTACTTTGACTAAAGTACAAGATCTGAGTACTTCTACTTTGACTAAAGTACAAGACCTGAGTACTTTTACTCAAGTACAAGATCTGAGTACTTCTACTTTTACTCAAGAACAAGATCTGAGTACTTCTACTTTTACTCAAGTACAAGATCTGAGTACTTCTACTTTTACTCAAGAACAAGATCTGAGTACTTCTACTTTTACTCAAGATCTGAGTTCTTCTACTTTTACTCAAGTACAAGATCTGAGTACTTCTACTTTTACTCAAGAACAAGACCTGAGTACTTCTACTGTTACTCAAGTACAAGATCTGAGTACTTCTACTTTTACTCAAGTACAAGATCTGAGTTCTTCTACTTTTACTCAAGTACAAGATCTGAGTACTTCTACTTTTACTCAAGAACAAGATCTGAGTACTTCTAGATAGATAGATACAGTGACATTTCTATATGTACAAAAGTGGTGGGGCACGAACAACTTAGATGTGTATATATAAGCTTCTGGTGCTTTTTTAAACAGGTAAACAAATAGCTGGCTATCCATGGTCCCGATAGAGAGGGGGGGGGGGGGGGGGGGGGGGGTATAAGGAAAACAGACATTCATCACCGAGGTCACAATATCAATCGATCCAGCAGAGCAATAGCCTATAGGCAAAACACAGAAGATCAACAAAAGATATGACATCAAATTCAAAACCTTTATTTATCAGGTAAAATCCCATTGAGATCAATGATCTCTTTTTCAAGGGAGACCTGCAGCAGTAGGTTCCACAGGAAGACATACAAACATAAACAACAGAACAACAAAAGGACATCATACAGCAAAATGTACAGGGATTACAATTTACATATTTAACCACAAGTACAGGTACCAACAGCATCTGATTGAGTAGCATCCAACCGAGCTTTAAAAACATGTAGTGGTACTAGCTTGGTAATTTTCCATTCTTTTTGCAGACTGTTCCATGTTAGTGGAGCTGCACATCTAAAAGCTTTCTTCCCTAAGACAGTTCTAGCACTTGGCACATTTAATAAAACCACAGCATGCGATCTCAGGCAGTAAGTACTTTCAATTCGCAGAGAGATCAGGGAGCAGATATAAGATGGTAGTTTATCCAACATGGCTTTGTAAATGAAAAAGTACCAGTGACTGAGCCTCCGTACAGTAAGTGATGGCATAACCGCCTTGGTATACAGGGTACAGTGATGCGTAAGTGCTTTACAATTTGTCAAAAATCTCAGTGCGCTGTGATACGCAGCATCTAACTTGCTCAGGTAATTGGCAGGTGCATTCATATAGATCAGATCACCATAGTCCAGCACAGGTCAAAAGGTCACAGAGCCTTTTCCTGGCCTCAAGCGAGAAACAGGACTTATTTCTGTAGAAGAAACCTAGCCTAACCCTCAGCTTTTTAAGCAGGTTATTGACATGAAGTTTAAAAGTGAGACAGTCATCAAGCCAGATACCCAAGTATTTGTAACAGGTAACCACCTCAAGTTGTATTCCTTGCGTAGTTACAATATCCAAAGCAGTCTCCGGTGTATTTTTAGCTTTAGCTTTAGAAAAGAGCATTACCTTGGTTTTATCCACATTTAAAAGAAGCTTTAAAAACAGCCTGTAATTTAACAACAGCCTCGTTAATCGAGGGACCTGCACAGTACATCACGGTATCGTCCGCATAAAAATGTAAGGTTGCTCCTTCGACATTTTCACCTAAACTGTTGATATAGATAGAGAATAAAAGTGGACCTAAAACAGAACCTTGAGGAACACCATTAGTGATGTTTAACCACTCAGAAGACAGCCCATCAAAGTGAACACATTGGGACCCTTCGGAGAGGTAGTTTACAAACCACCCACTGCATGGCTGGACATGCCGATACTGACCAGCCTCTGCTTCAAAATGCAATGATCGACATTATCAAAAGCTTACCAAAGCTGAAGCAGACGGTCAACTTCATTCATGTTCTTTCCGTTTTACTGACTGTAATCGCTTTACGCTGCTCTCTCTCGTCTCCTCTTCACTACTACACTTTTAACGGCACACGTACTTACAGCCAATCGGCTCTCTGAATTATGAGATGACGTTTGGTGGGGTTGCCAGCACTTTGCCCCACTTGTGATAATTGTGTTGCCGCACACATTGAATAGCAAAAGACTCTGAGCATGCGCAGTGTTGTTTTTACAGCACACTTTCATTTTCTGACAGCAGAGAGAGGGGCTTCACCCACTGCTCAACACGGCTCAATAGACACACTGTGGACACTAATTACAAGAACGCAGACTAAAACAGCAATGTACAGACAAATCAGATGACTAAACATGATCTTAAAATATATTTTAAGATATATATGTTTTGCATATTTTTGGAATTATTATTTTAATTACTTTCTGCTGACACTGTGGGGCTGTGCCCCTAATGACGAGTCACCACTGGATAGATAGATAGATAGATAGATAGATAGATAGATAGATAGATAGAGAGAGAGATAGATAGATAGAGAGAGAGATAGATAGAGAGAGATAGAGAGATAGATAGATAGATAGATGGATAGATAGAGAGAGATAGATAGATAGATAGATAGATAGATAGATAGATAGATAGATAGATAGATGGAGAGAGAGAGAGATAGATAGATAGATAGATAGATAGATAGATAGATAGATAGATAGATAGATAGAGAGAGAGATAGATAGATAGATAGATAGATAGATAGATAGATAGATAGATAGAGAGAGAGATAGATAGAGAGAGATAGATAGATAGATAGATAGATAGATAGATAGATAGATAGATAGATAGATGGAGAGAGAGAGAGAGATAGATAGATAGATAGATAGATAGATAGATAGATAGATAGATGGAGAGAGAGAGAGATAGACAGATAGATAGATAGATAGATAGATAGATAGATAGATAGATAGATAGATAGATAGATAGACAGATAGATAGATAGATAGATAGAGATATAGATATATAGATAGATAGATAGATAGATAGATAGATAGATAGATAGATAGATAGATAGATAGATAGATAGATAGATAGATAGATAGATAGATAGATAGATAGATAGATAGATAGCAATATATATAACATTCTGAATGGTTAAAATGTTCTTTAAAAAGGTCCAAAATACTGCAGGAAAATAGGCTTATAATATACTGTATATACATAAGATAGTATAATTTACAGATTTGTATAGGTATGTAAGTATGTATGTATTTATTTACGGGGAGCGTGGTACAATAAAAATATAGAAATAAATAGAAATAAAATAGAAACAAAAGGTACAATTTCAAGCAAAAATGTTTATCAAATACGAATGTGTTTTTGATTGCCTTCTTGTTTAAAAAAAAGGAAAACAAATGCAAATTATTTCCGAAAAGTCAAATAATTGTATAAAAATGTTGCGTCACATTTAAAGTCTCTAAAGATGACGTCATGTCCGTCTACCTGAACGCGCAGCAGTTCTATGTGCTGCTGATCTACATGGCCGGGATCTATGATGACGTAGAGGTGCAAACAGGAAGTAATAACAGCACGCTTCATGTTTCCTCCACACGTTTCAGCTGCTGGCGCCAGTGTTCCTCTTCATACATGCTGGTGAGTTCATTCACTGCAAACACTGACATCTCACACATCACCATTAGCATTTGCACCCGCCTCGCGACTGTGTTAGTGCCTGTTTCACCTCGGGGTGTGCGGAAATTAAAGGAGCAGCTAGCATGTTAGCATTAGCATAAATGATCCACCAAACTTCATTCAGAAAAATCACATTGTAATCTTTAGTAGCAGAAAGCACTGACAGAATACAGATGTGTTAAAGGTTGACAGCTCGCTAGAGCTTGGATGTTATTTCGGCTTACTTTGGGGTCAATAGTTGAGTCTACTTTACTATCAAATCTGAACTGATCTGAGAATATCTATATCATGTTTTTCTAGTTTTTTAATTGTTTTGTAATTCTTGTACATTGACTGCATTTTCTTTTTAAATGATTTAAAGGGCAGTATGCAGAGGTGGGAGAAGTACTCAGATATTGTACTTGAGTAAAAGTAGAAGTATTCAGATCTTGTGCTTGAGTAAAAGTAGAAGTACTCAGATCTTGTTCTTGAGTAAAAGTAGAAGTACTCAGATCTTGTACTTGAGTAAAAGTAGAAGTACTCAGATATTGTACTTGAGTAAAAGTAGAAGTATTCAGATCTTGTGCTTGAGTAAAAGTAGAAGTACTCGGATATTGTACTTGAGTAAAAGTAGAAGTACTCGGATATTGTACTTGAGTAAACGTAGAAGTACTCGGATATTGTACTTGAGTAAACGTAGAAGTACTCGGATATTGTACTTGAGTGAAAGTAGAAGTAGTCAGATCTTGTACTTGAGTAAAAGTAGAAGTACTCAGATCTTGTACTTGAGTAAAAGTAGAAGTACTCAGATCTTGTACTTGAGTAAAAGTAGAAGTACTCAGATCTTGTACTTGAGTAAAAGTAGAAGTACTCAGATCTTGTACTTGAGTAAAAGTAGAAGTACTCAGATCTGGTACTTCAGTAAAAGTAGAAGTACCAGAGTGTAGGAATACTCTGTTACAGTAAAATACCTGCATTCAAAATGTTACTTAAATATAATCAAAGTACTAGTAGTCATTGTGCAGATTGGGTATTTATTTTAAAACAGGTCACCCTTGGAAAAGGGGCTTTCACCTGGTTGAATAAAGGCTACAAACAAACAATAACCCAAACCGCATTAAATCTACTCTTTTTTATCTCACAACACAAACTAAGACTGTATTTAATTTTGTCTTAATGTACATTATTTCATTTCATATTCTGTTCTTGTACATATCATATTCTATTGACATGTATATAGACTTCTTGCACTACTTTGTATTTTTGTACTTTATTATATGCATTGTTGGAGGAGCTCAGGTCAGAAGAGTTTCATTGCCATTTCTACTCTGTAGCTTGAAGAACGTTGTGTATCTGTTTACAGATTGTGTCGTAGAGGCTGCTGTCTGAGCGTCTCCATGATGGCGGAGCGGCTGAGCTTCAGGAACATCACGGCTCTGGCTCCGATGGTTCGGGTCGGCACGCTCCCCATGAGGCTGCTGGCGCTGGATTACGGAGCTGACGTGGTTTATTGTGAGGTGAGGACGGAAGTGGAGTATGCTGAAGACTTTCCTTTTTAATAAAGCCTATAGTTAAAGGTCTCCTATCATGCAGGTCTCCTTTTGATGTCTTCTCTCCATCACCATGTGTCCCCCGTGTGTCAGGAGACTCACTAAGTGCCAGAGAATAAAACCCTCTCTCTTTTCCTCCGTACCCACATCTCTAAAAACGGGGGAATGGGAAAGTACACACATCATAGACATGTTTTTTATATATCTGAGACCTATAATATATGCCTTAAAATAGCACAATAGGAGACCGTTAAAGCTTGGTTAAGGTTACCCTACATTGTCCTCCTGAGTCCTACATTTTATCTTCATCTTTATCTTCATCTTCATTTATAGATTTTTATTATTGTCGTTATCTCGTTTTATTTTTGTGAATTTTCTTGTATTTCCGTTTCTTTCTCGTCTTTTTGTTATTTTCTTGTACTTGTTAATAATGAGAGCATTTCTCAAAACGAGGTCAAAGTCATTATTTTCAGACACTAACTTGTTCTTTTTTAGAAAGTTGAGTTATTATTTTTCAAGGTAATTATTATAAGGTACTACGTAATTATCTTAACATGTTAACTATTTATATATATTCATATAAACTCATTATTTTTCACATATTTACACATTATCTGTAACTTTATGACATTCTGAGTCCTTTTATTGACATTGTAACTTATTATAGAATCCTAAGGTCGCATTCACACCTCACAGCCGCTCTCTGCTGCGCGCCAGACCACCGTTTGTTACATGGTTTCATTCTTCAGAAGGTTCGGTTTGCGTTCACACGGCAACACTCAAACGGACTATAAACTTTGAACACAAGTAATGTGCACGGAAATGCTGTTCACCCATTGGTCAGACATTAAAGGGGTAAAAACGCAAATCCCGGCAATTTCTCCCGGAGCCTCCGCCATGGAGCATCGGCACTTTCGGCAGGTTATTCTCATGCTGCTGTTAATCTGGAGATCAACAGACTCTAGCGGACGGCTCATATGATTATACAGTCAGACGACGTGCATTACAAAACGTTAAAACACAATGAGACGGTCTGCAGTCAGGAGGAGGATTCACCGACAACAGGTGGCTCTGACTTTTATGTAGCTGACGGAGCATTTTTACTTTACACGACACTGTTCAACTCTTCATCCTGCTTCACTCTTTAACTAAAGATTTTGAAGACCTCCGCGTTCTTGTGACTCGTAAATACTACGCTTCCTGTGTTTTGGTGCGGACTGCGTTCACACCAGCGATGAACCGCTCCAGAGTTCACTAGCAAGCGCTCCGAGACCACCTCTGTTACCTCATTCACACCAACGCAACTCCGGTTCAAGCTCCCTGCTAGAGCTTTTCAGGTTCAGAACCGGTTCTTCGGTTTAGCTCCGGCTCTTTTCACACTGCCCAGAGTCCGACTGGTGCTGCGTCATTGCGTCGTCGTTTGCGTCATGACGTAACCGTTTGCGTGCCTGCTTCATAAAGCCAACCCGCGCGGAAACCCCTCACAGCTCACACCGACAACAACAACAATGGCCGATTGTGCTCCAGCTTCCTCTGAACCTCTTCGGAAGACCAGATTCCCAGCAGGTAGCTGGTCTCTTCAGTGGACCACTGCTGCTTGTTAAGTTTCTCCATCGTTGTGTACAAACTGGATACAACGCCGGCTTGTTGTTGTTGTTCAGGAGTTGATCCCGCCCCCGCCTCGACGTAAGCGTGACGTATGCGGTGCTTTTGCTCTGGCCGGACAATTTTTTGGTGCTTGAAACGAACCGGATTCCGGAGCTAAGAGGCGGCTCCGCTGCGGTGTGAACAGGAAACCCCGGTGCTTTTCAAGCTCCAGCTCCCAACCGGCCCTGAAACACCGTTGGTGTGAATGAGGTATTTTAGGCGGACCAGGTGTTTAGTTCACTTCAGAGGTCTCGGGCTGCGTTCACACCGACCCAAACGAACCAAGCGGCTAAACGCACCAGGGTTCAATTCAACCGGACTAACAAGGCCGGTGTGAATGCGATCTAAGTCTTCATTTGAGATGGATAAGTCTTTGTTTTAGTAATTATTTTTCTATTTTATTCTATATACTCACTCATTATTTGGTTAAACTCAGTTATTATTTTAAGACACCAAGTCATACAGTTTGGAGATATTAAGTCATTATTTTAAAAAAAAGTGTGGTTTTTATTTTCTATTGGCTCGTTATTACTTGAAAATGTGTGTGACTCATTATTTGGAGAAATCTTACCATTATAAGGAATAAAAAGATATTTTAAATGATATTAATATTTTTCTTATTTCAGCGAAAATCTGCTTCCATACCCTTTTAGAGTTTTAAATGTTTTTAACTCTGTGTCGTCGGTTTCAGGAGTTAATCGACATCAAAATGGCCCAGTGTGAGAGGGTGGTGAACGGTGAGTCTCTCAAACCCTTTTATATGTAAACAAATACATTAAAAACAATACACACACATACAGAAATAACTTGCTTACCTAGATAAAAGTACAAAAGTATTGGCATCAAAATATACTTAAAGTACCAAAAGCAAAAGTATTAAATACGTATTCCTTTAATTTTAACTTCTGCACTCTTTTACAACTTGAATTATTGTATTTGTTTACATGTTGTGAGCCTTAGAAAAAACCTGCTTCACTTTAGTTATTGTTTATATGATGAATAAAAACTTTAAACTTAGTTTTATGGCGTGTTTTCTCAGAGGTGCTGCACACGGTGGATTTTGTCGCTCCAGATGAACGAGTGATGTTCAGGACGTGTGAAAAAGAGAAGGAGAGAGTCGTCTTCCAGATGGTGAGCGACAGAACACTTTAAAGAGTCCTCTCCAGCTGATGTTCAGGTGTATATCAGTATGTAGTGTCTCTACTTTAAAGAGTCCTCTCTTGCTGATGTTCAGGTGTATATCAGTATGTAGTGTCTCTACTTTAAAGAGTCCTCTCCTGCTGATGTTCAGGTGTATATCAGTATGTAGTGTCTCTACTTTAAAGAGTCCTCTCCTGCTGATGTTCAGGTGTATATCAGTATGTAGTGTCTACTTTAAAGAGTCCTCTCCTGCTGATGTTCAGGTGTATATCAGTATGTAGTGTCTCTACTTTAAAGAGTCCTCTCCTGCTGATGTTCAGGTGTATATCAGTGTGTAGTGTCTCTACTTTAAAGAGTCCTCTCCTGCTGATGTTCAGGTGTATATCAGTATGTAGTGTCTCTACTTTAAAGAGTCCTCTCCTGCTGATGTTCAGGTGTATATCAGTATGTAGTGTCTTTACTTTAAAGAGTCCTCTCCTGCTGATGTTGAGGTGTATATCAGTATGTAGTGTCTCTGCTTTAAAGAGTCCTCTCCTGCTGATGTTCAGGTGTATATCAGTATGTAGTGTCTCTACTTTAAAGAGTCCTCTCCTGCTGATGTTCAGGTGTATATCAGTATGTAGTGTCTCTACTTTAAAGAGTCCTCTCCTGCTGATGTTCAGGTGTATATCAGTATGTAGTGTCTCTACTTTAAAGAGTCCTCTCCTGCTGATGTTCAGGTGTATATCAGTATGTAGTGTCTTTACTTTAAAGAGTCCTCTCCTGCTGATGTTGAGGTGTATATCAGTATGTAGTGTCTCTGCTTTAAAGAGTCCTCTCCTGCTGATGTTCAGGTGTATATCAGTATGTAGTGTCTCTACTTTAAAGAGTCCTCTCCTGCTGATGTTCAGGTGTATATCAGTATGTAGTGTCTCTACTTTAAAGAGTCCTCTCCTGCTGATGTGCAGGTGTATATCAGTATGTAGTGTCTCTACTTTAAAGAGTCCTCTCCTGCTGATGTTCAGGTGTATATCAGTATGTAGTGTCTCTACTTTAAAGAGTCCTCTCCTGCTGATGTTCAGGTGTATATCAGTATGTATTGTCTCTACTTTAAAGAGTCCTCTCCTGCTGATGTTCAGGTGTGTATCAGTATGTAGTGTCTCTACTTTAAAGAGTCCTCTCCTGCTGATGTGCAGGTGTATATCAGTATGTAGAGTCTCTACTTTAAAGAGTCCTCTCCTGCTGATGTTCAGGTGTATATCAGTATGTAGTGTCTCTACTTTAAAGAGTCCTCTCCTGCTGATGTTCAGGTGTATATCAGTATGTAGTGTCTCTACTTTAAAGAGTCCTCTCCTGCTGATGTTCAGGTGTATATCAGTATGTATTGTCTCTACTTTAAAGAGTCCTCTCCTGCTGATGTTCAGGTGTATATCAGTATGTATTGTCTCTACTTTAAAGAGTCCTCTCCTGCTGATGTTCAGGTGTATATCAGTATGTAGTGTCTCTACTTTAAAGAGTCCTCTCCTGCTGATGTTCAGGTGTATATCAGTATGTAGTGTCTCTACTTTAAAGAGTCCTCTCCAGCTGATGTTCAGGTGTATATCAGTATGTAGTGTCTCTACTTTAAAGAGTCCTCTCCTGCTGATGTTCAGGTGTATATCAGTATGTAGTGTCTCTACTTTAAAGAGTCCTCTCCTGCTGATGTTCAGGTGTATATCAGTATGTAGTGTCTCTACTTTAAAGAGTCCTCTCCTGCTGATGTTCAGGTGTATATCAGTATGTATTGTCTCTACTTTAAAGAGTCCTCTCCTGCTGATGTTCAGGTGTATATCAGTATGTAGTGTCTCTACTTTAAAGAGTCCTCTCCTGCTGATGTTCAGGTGTATATCAGTATGTAGTGTCTCTACTTTAAAGAGTCCTCTCCTGCTGATGTTCAGGTGTATATCAGTATGTAGTGTCTCTACTTTAAAGAGTCCTCTCCTGCTGATGTTCAGGTGTATATCAGTATCTATTGTCTCTACTTTAAAGAGTCCTCTCCTGCTGATGTTCAGGTGTATATCAGTATGTAGTGTCTCTACTTTAAAGAGTCCTCTCCTGCTGATGTTCAAATAGGAGCGCCAGTGTTACATAGTGATGTCACTATGTTCCTGAAGTAAACAAAGAAGTCGTAGAGAAATAACGTTTAATCTCTGTTTTTCAGGGAACTGCTGACCCGGACAGAGCGCTGATTGTTGCCAAACTTGTGTGAGTTCAAACTCCATATTTTTACCTTTTTAAAAATCAGTGTTTTCTTTTTTTTGATCAAATGTATGATCAGGTTTTTCTTCGTCTCAGTGCCATTTAAAATGTGGAAGAATTCCCAAACGGGAAAAGACACTCTCAATTAAGAAATATAAAAAAAGGTGTTTTTGATGGTCTTAAAATGGACGTTGATAAAAGATTAAATTGTTACTATAATCAGGGTGATCGAGCCCAATGTTTGCTTAACGGTTGCTCCGCCCTCATCTGTGATTGGACATTTGAGAAGTCATGTGATTTTGATCCATGACATCACAGCTTGTGTTAACCCATAGTTTCATTGACTCTCATGGACTACTATATTTAAGGAATTTTAAGTGTAAGGAAGTTCATACTAAAAATAGTCATTATTATTATTGAGATTTTAAGTCAATTTTTCTAAAATTAACTCGTAATATTTACGAGAAAGTCACAATTTTAGGTAAAGAAACAAAAACAACCTAATTTAATAAATGATGAAGAATCAAAGTTGTTTGGTAGTGTCTACAAACAACTAAAAAGCCCATTACTGATTTTCATGTATATTTAAAATAAATGATCAGATACTATTAAAACAACTTATCTTAGCTGAGCATGACTCAACACATTTGCAAGTTAAATACTTTAAGTACAGATACACACAAAAATTAGGGCATGAGATTAACACGATTTGAAATATCGTTATCTGAAGTGGTGTACGAGCTCTTTGGTATCCCATCATGCATTGGGTGAGCTGGCCTCTTAAATAAGATAAGAACTACTTTATTGATCCCAAGTTGGACATGTTTGCGTTGCAGCAGTATAGAAAGACAAGGAACAAATATACTTGTTGAATTAATGTACAGTAAGTTTGCCCACTTACAAATAAATGAACATTCGATCATTGTAATTTAATTTATTAAAAATATTGAGAAAAAGTCAGAATTTTGAGAAAAATTCAGAATTTTTAGAAAAAGTCTGAATTTTAAGAAAGTCAGAATTTTGATCCCAAGTTGGAACATGTTTGTGTTGCAGCAGCATAACAAGACATGGCATTGTACAATACAAATTAAAAGACGAGAAATACAAATTCCAAAATGTAAACATCTCAATAGAAATAAAACAGCATTAAAACAAATACTAGTTATATATATATATATATATATATATATATATATATATATATATATATATATATATACATGTGGAATACAAAATGTACAGTAAGTTTGCCCACTTACAAATAAATGAACGTTGTATCATTTTCATGGCAGCTTTATTTTAACAGTGAGAGTAAGAATATCAAAAAAATGAAATCCAGAAATTGACATTATACAAAAGATAAAAATGTATTTGCATTTAACTAAAGAAATAAGTACTTGATCCCCTTGCAACCAACAAGGATTCCTGGATCAAATACTTCTTTCCTCCACTGTATGTGAGGAGTGGAATATTAAATATTAGATTGTATATAAACGTAAAATGTCGTCCTGCAGGGAGAAGGATGTGGCCGCCATCGATGTGAATATGGGATGTCCCAAAGAATACTCCACTAAGGTGAGTTTCCTCTCAGTATAAAACCTAAACCTTTGACCTCTCTGTGTGACCTCTCTGTGTGACCTCTCTGTGTGACCTCTCTGTGACCTCTCTGTGACCTCTCTGTGACCTCTCTCTGTGACCTCTCTGTGACCTCTCTGTGACCTCTCTGTGACGTCTCTGTGCCCTCTCTGTGACCTCTCTGTGACCTCTCTGTGACCTCTCTCTGTGACCTCTCTGTCTGACCTCTCTGTCTGACCTCTCTGTGTGACCTCTCTGTCTGACCGCTCTGTGTGACCTCTCTGTGTGACCTCTCTGTGTGACCTCTCTGTGTGACCTCTCTGTGTGACCTCTCTGTCTGACCTCTCTGTGTGACCTCTCTGTCTGACCTCTGTGTGACCTCTCTGTCTGACCTCTCTGTCTGACCTCTGTCTGACCTCTGTCTGACCTCTCTGTCTGACCTCTCTGTCTGACCTCTCTGTCTGACCTCTCTGTGTGACCTCTCTGTCTGACCTCTCTGTCTGACCTCTCTGTGTGACCTCTCTGTGTGACCTCTCTGTGTGACCTCTGTGTGTGACCTCTCTGTGTGACCTCTGTGTGTGACCTCTCTGTCTGACCTCTGTGTGACCTCTCTGTGTGACCTCTCTGTGTGACCTCTCTGTCTGACCTCTGTCTGACCTCTCTGTCTGACCTCTCTGTCTGACCTCTCTGTGTGACCTCTCTGTGTGACCTCTCTGTCTGACCTCTCTGTGTGACCTCTCTGTGTGACCCTCTGTGTGTGACCTCTCTGTGTGACCTCTCTGTGTGACCTCTCTGTGTGACCTCTCTGTCTGACCTCTCTGTGTGACCTCTCTGTGTGACCTCTCTGTCTGACCTCTGTGTGACCTCTCTGTCTGACCTCTCTGTCTGACCTCTCTGTGTGACCTCTCTGTCTGACCTCTGTGTGACCTCTCTGTCTGACCTCTCTGTCTGACCTCTCTGTCTGACCTCTGTCTGACCTCTCTGTCTGACCTCTCTGTCTGACCTCTCTGTCTGACCTCTCTGTCTGACCTCTCTGTGTGACCTCTCTGTGTGACCTCTCTGTCTGACCTCTCTGTGTGACCTCTCTGTGTGACCTCTCTGTGTGACCTCTCTGTCTGACCTCTCTGTCTGACCTCTCTGTGTGACCTCTGTCTGACCTCTCTGTG